AGAGAGAGAGAGAGAGAGAGAGAGAGAGAGAGAGAGAGAGAGAGAGAAAGGGGCGGGGGTATACATTCACCGGTTTTTAAGTGTTTGAGTAGACAGAGCGAGCCCTAGCCGGAATGACAAATTTCTCGCTCCCACGATCTAAATAATTGGCGCTGGAGGTAAAACGGTGAAATACGACGAGTCGAAACAACAGCTGCTCTGACAAACCAAATCAGATTGAAGCACAATCTGCCAACAAACTGTATGATGAAAAGAACTCTGCTGCATGTACAAACAACTAATTGCATTGGAGTGAAATGACGATTTCGACAGGATTAGAGTTCATACCCAGGAAGTCGGTCCAGCGGCGCACTGTCTGACCGTCTCGTGCGTGCGAGTCTCTCCCTCCCCCCTCCTCCCCCCGTCGCGTGCAGACTGGCAGGCAACGACGACATCGCCACATCTTTCCCCAAAACTCTCTCCCTCTCCTCCTTCTACTCATCTGCCCAATTCATCACCTCAACAAGGCGATTCCTCGCTAAAAGTGCTTCGAATCACGGCTTAAGTAGTTTTGATGGAGCGTCCTTGAGATCACCTTCCCACTAAATATGCCCCCTCCTCCTTTACCTCCCTAAAACGTCGGCTCTTTGCGAAATGTCGTCGTTTTTCTCCCATCAATTTGGTGGAGGTAAAAGACATACCATGGTGGAAGTAATTAGGCCCGTGCACGTTGCCCGACTCAGAAATACCGTCTCTGCAACAAACACGTAGGGTAGGGTTTCCTGAGCGAAACGAACTCGTTGCAAAGAAGATTCTGAGTGACCGCACTTGCGTTACTTAGTATGCAATTTGCAAAGAATGTATTTTTTTTCCTAGACGAGCGGGCGGGTCACATGTGTATATGGCTTATTTGCAGAGGAGGTAATAAGAGGTTTAAATAAGGTACCTATATCCCCGTTCGGTTTTTGCCAGCAGCGTTCACACACCGTTGTAATAACATTAGGAGACAAAACAAGTACCGCAACGCATAATGCACTCCATCATTACCATCGACACTGCGGAGATGATGATAGGAAAGAGGGAGAGAGAGAGAGAGAGAGAGAGAGAGAGAGAGAGAGAGAGAGAGAGAGAGAGAGAGGGAGAGAGGTGGGGCGTCTTTGTTCTTCTGTTCGAGATGGCACGACACGCGCCGCGGCACCGCGGGTACCTGACCTTGAGCCGACACCCCTCACCTTCCCTTCTCCCCGCCCTTCTCTGCCACGCCCGGCAGCAGGATCCGTCGATCGGGTGATTCCAACTCGGCTTTTGGAAGGTTTAGCTCAGCCAAATGAGCCTGAGCAAGGAGAACCCGCCTATGACCACCGCATATGGTATGATCACCGGCAAAGGCTTGCCAAGCGCGTTCAGAGGAGGAACTCGAGCGAACCGCCGCGCCCATCCCGGGGCACCCACGCTATATGGAAGGGCGTTATGGCCGGTTCATTCATTCGCCAGGGCAGTAGCGCGTCTGAAAGGAGGCCTCCCTGCTTCCCGCGTCCCGGAAAATATTACAATTTTGTTATTATTATTCAATGCGGGTGAGCTTGCGAACCGGACAGGCAGCAGGGGGAAGGGGCGCGGGAAGAGGTGCGCGAGTTCCCAGGGATGTTTGTAATCTCCGAGGAGAGGTGATGGAGTCTTCGTGCAACAAATCCAGGGTAACTCACAGACGCGCATAACGTTATGAGTGGCGCTATTCTATTAGATCCACAGTCGCGGTGCGCCTAGCGGCGAAAACAAAACCGAAATGAAATCCGTTTCGCGATAACTGATGTTTCACGAATCTCATACAATAAAGGGCATGTCAACATTATTTTTCAAAAAAAAAATGTATAGGTATACAATCAGTGGAAAAACCAACCGAATCTCGAGCAGTCACAGCACAGTAGTAGATACTTGGCAGACCGCAAGGCCACGACGCACTTTCAACCAAAAAGACAAAACCCTTTCTCGCCGTCCCCCGCCTCCCTATCAGCGAGAATAAGAGCACACGCGACTCGCTAATTGGGACGCCTCGCGAAAGACAACGGTGGCGGCCGTCTGCTGAAAATTTAAACTTAAGCATTTAAGTGGGCGATAGTACAGTACACGACACATTCGAACGAGTGGGAACGGGCGGGTGATATGATGTGGGCAGGAGATAGCTTTAAGAGGCCCGTGCAAGCTGGCAAGGCAAGGAGGGCGGTGGTGGAGGGCATATTTGACTGTATCATCGTGTGTAAAAAAAAACTAGTACAGTATACCTTAATGATGATAATAATAATAAGCAAAGGCAGCCGTCGCGGCGAACAGCCAAAACCACACAAACAGGTGTTCGGGGAGCAAAACCGCCTTTGCCAATTGAGCCGCGAGGTCATTTGCCCCCCCCCCCCACTTTTT